TCACACCAGATGGTCCGGTAGACTCGGTTCGGTTGTGGACCAATATTCATGACCTTTTGTTTACATTTGAGCTGGTGCGTTTGCATTCACACTGCACTGTGCAGTCAAGTCAACCTGTTGAACCAACCTATTCCCCCGCTCGCCTGTGGACGCTGCACCAAGAACTACTGAAAGAAACAACACAAAAACCTCTGAAGACACGTCTTCTTCTTCTTCTTCTGTAAATAAAAACAAAAATGAAGTGGCATCAAGTTTTAGCAGTTTTAGGAGTTATATTTTGTAATTTTTCAAAAATGGACTTAGCACGAGCAGAAGATGAGACAGAAGACCATGGAGAATATTGTTTTCCACACAAGGCAGCTGACGGCTCCATATAATGTCAGAGAAATGCGTGTTTGTTTACCCTGCGGAGAGGGGCCCGGTCTGTTTACATTCACACTGCACTCGAACCGCGCTGGAGTTCTCTTCTACCTGACCGAGACCTAGGTTTTAGCCCGGGCCAGAGTTCGCCTTTTTGTTCCGTGACAGAGTTCGATGGCGCGTTCACACCTCCCTAAACGAGCCGGACTTTCTAGGAAAACGAGCTAGAGTTCGATTAAAGCAGACTAAACAGGGCTAGTGTGAATGCACCCTCAGAGAAATTTATTTGTGATACACACCACACGTCGTACATAAGGTGGGACGAAACTATGTACACAGGGTCCCAGTTACATCCAACAAACATACAAATTGTAAAGAAAAACATTAGTAAGATCTGAGTCATTAAACTAAGAATATACTACGTTCGTTAAACTAAGAATATACAAGACTAAGAATACATTAAGCACTAATGGTACAAAAACAACAGCAGCATGAACATGAGTCTGTATGAGCAGATGAGGACGAATGAACACAGCAACATTAAATAATCAGCAGCACATATCAACAACCAAGTGGCATTACAGGGACTTTTTTCCAGTTTTTTTCACAGTGAATATCCTGCTTAGATATTCATGAGTCTAACAGTCTCAGGGTAGAAGCTGTTCCTCAGTCTAGTGGTTCTATACTTAATGCTCCTCAGCCTTCTGCCTGAGGGGAGCGGGACAAAAAATGTGTGAGCTGGGTGTGTGGGGTCCTTCATGATGCAGGTGGCCCTTGAAATATAATTTTATCAGATAATATATTAACTTAATGAAATGTCTAGATATATGTATCCTGTTTTGTTATTTAGAATGATATTGTGTTAGAACACGATCTGATTCCGTTTCCAGTAGAAAATTTAGTTTTAGTTACATGCCTACAACTCCCAACATTCACGCACCCATCCATTATAGAACACAAGATGGTGAGATATTATTGGTTGAGAGCTGGGTCACATGATAGAGTAGGGCTTTCCATTCGTCGATGGTGGTGACTCCTCCTGGGAGGTGTGGCCGAGCTCTGAAGAAGATGGGTTTTCTGTTTACACTTGGGGCCATTGTTAGTGACCGCATGTTGAAGTGTCAGTGGCCCAGGGCTGGTGATCTTTGTACTTTACATGTGGGTATAATAAACCTTCTGAAATGGATGATGATTGCTCCTCCTCTCCCTGCTCCAGATATAGAATATATTATAACACCCTCTTCCTGCATCTGGAGGTGTAGATGTCTGTGATGGTTGGGAGGCTGACTCCAACAGTCTTCTGTGCAGCCTTCACCACTCTCTGCAAAGCTTTTCTTTCTGCAGCTGTGCAGCCTCCATGCCACACGTTGATGCTGGAGCACAGGATGCTCTCCACTGCACACCTGTAGAAGGAGGTGAGGACTGAGCTTCCCAGACCAGCTCGTCTCAGGAAGTAGAGTCTCTGATGATCTTTCTTGATCAGGCTGGTGGTGTTGATGCTCCAGCTGAGGTAATCATTCAGGTGCACACCCAAGTACTTGTAGCTGGAGACGACTTCCACCATAGATCCTCCTATGTTCAGGTGGGGGGTAGGTGTGTTATTCCTTCTGAAGTCCACGGCCATCTCCTTCGTCTTCTTCACATTGATGTGAAGGTTGTTCTTCCTGCACCAGCTCTCCAGGTGTTCCACCTCCTGCCTGTAGCTGGACTCCATTGTTTTTGATGCATCCCACCATCAAAAACAAAAATAGTCTTAAAACCGTTTTATTCGAGCAGTCTTGTATAGTTTTCAAGTTTTGCGTTGTGAAGCACTTTGTGAAGCACCTTTTGGCTATTGTAAATGGCTCTTCAAATAAATGTTGATTGATTGATTAATTAAAAGTATAGTTTCCTCAAATAATTTACCAGGTTGGACAATATTTGTTTTTCATAAACTGGGGGGTTTTGGATGCTCAAACTTGTTAGAAAAAATAAATAAATGTGGACGACTGTGGCAAATCTTTCCTTAGTTGTTAACACTTGTAGCAGGTGAGGAAAATAAGGTCCAAATAAGGTTTTTCTCCATTCTACAACAATTATATTTGAACTCAATAAAATTTGGGCACCAGGTCAGTTTCCTGACCAACAAGTTAATACATTTTATGGATATTCAGCCACTAAATTCACCCTTGAATTGACCACAGCTGAAGCTGAATTCGTAGTTACAGGGAATTCTCATCACATTAAACTGAATGAGGAGGAAACTGAATTTGCCTTTTTACATTTTATTACAAAATGATCAAAAGTAGAAACAACAATAAACAAATTTGGACAAAAGTTTTACAAGATAACAACTTGGAGGATGTTTGAAAAAGTAGTTGTGATTACTAGAAAAATTACAAACTATCAGAAAAGTACAAAGTCTTTTATCTAAAACTAAATTAAACCTTTGAACAGGAATTGTTCAGGCTTTTATACACACGAGAATTTTGACAAAGTTTAACTATTTAATAAAGTTTCCTTTGGAGTTTGGTTAAGAGTTTAATTAAAAAAATAAAATACCCATCCATCCATCATCTTTACCTGCTGCTTCCTTTTCAGGTCACGGGGGTCACTGGTGCCCATATCCAGCAATCACTGTAGATGCGGGGGACACTCTGGACAGGTCTCCAGTCCATCACAGGGACACATAGAGACAAACAACCATTCACTCTCTCACTCACACCTCAGGACAATTTAGAGTTACCAATCAGCCTAACATGCATGTTTTTGGTCTGTGGGAGGAAATCCATGCATGCACGGAGAAAACATGCAAACTCCACCTAACTGCCACCTAAGGTGCCGGGGGAACAGAAGGTGGGGGTTAAGAGCCTTGCTCAAGGGCCCAGAGTGAGGCAAATGAGGGTGAAGGCAGGTGTGGGTGCTTCACCCTTCCCACCCACATTTGATGTTGTGGGTCTGGGGTGTTGAACCCTCTGAGCACAGGCTCACCTTCTCTAACCCCTGCACCACCACTCCACTTAATGTGACCAGATCAAATTATTAGAACAGAAAAAACAGAATGGGAGGCAAATCTTTCAGTTATCAGGCTCCTCTCTTGAGGAAACAACTTCCAGTTTCTGTCCGTGAGGCTGACACATTGTCCATTTTTTAGACTGGGCAGAAGACGTTCCTTTTTGTTAAATCCTACAGTTAGGGTTGGCTTGGGTTTCCTGAGCTGTCCCATAGTTATGCTGCTGTAGGCTTAGACTGCTGGAGGACAAACTGACCACAATTTTCACTCTTCTACTGTCTTTACTTACTCTGCTCAACCTGTTTTGTATTTTTAATTATTTTTTCTATCCTTAACATGTGTTTATTTGTCTTTCAGGTACACCTGCTGGACCTATACCTGGACCTACCATTCTGTATTCGTTTCTCCTTCCTGTTCTTTCAAACAAACCAGCCGGTCAAAGCAGATGGCCGCTTGTCCTGAGCCTGGTTCTGCTGGAGGTTTCTTCCTTTTAAAAGGGAGTTTTTCTTTCCACTGTTGCCACTGTGCTTTCTCAGAATGGGAGACTGTGATGAAGTGAAGATTCAACTTGTCTGCTGGATTTCTTAGATAGAGAACTTTACTAACTGTCTTTTCTATGTATGCGACTGTTCCTGTAAAGTGCCCTGAGACAACTGTGTTGTGATTTGGTGCTATATAAATAAACTGAATTGAATGAAATTGATAAATAAACTGGTAGTAAAACTGTGAATGAGGCTTGTAATAAACAACCTCACCCTGCAGGATCTTTTCTGCTCATCTTTTGTCCCATTCATCTCGTCCCAAAACTGTTTGGTTAGATGGGCTATGTGTTCATTTTATTTCAGATTTAATGTTCCCAAAACAAGAGTTTAGTGTGCTGCGTCTGTCCAAGGCTTGTGTGAACTAAATAAAAAATCTGTCAAACAAATCAGCATTGTCTACTCCCAGTTAACGGTGCTTTGTATACATGTGGTCAGGCTACACTGTACCAGCTCTTCATACGGATGTAAAGAGATCTTATCAAACACAATGCGAAGAATAAAAAGTCTTAAAGTATTGCTGCTTGTAGCAGAACAGACCCGTGAACCAGGAATAAATTGTTTAATGTCCTTTATCAAAATTATATATATTCAATTATTTACACAAATTTTGGTTTAGAGAAGTTTTTGTTGCATTTTATTCATATTTTAACCAAAATCATATTTAGTTTATCCAAAGTCACATTGTATGTCATTTTATTTTTGATATTTTAATGTTAGAAAAATTGCCCAAAGTCATAATCAACGTTTAAGGTTCAGGTTGAACTGGAGGAAGAGCCATTAAAAAAACTTTTCCCTAAATACACCAGAGAACACACACTGTCAGTAATACTTATCACTAGGATTATTAAAAACAGTATTATTTGCACAGCCTGACTTGTAATTCTTGATTGGCACCAAAGGTGATAATGTTTTTGCCTGCGATTGTGTTTGTCTTTTAGTAAAATGGCTCATGAACCACTGGACAAATTTTAGCTGTGTGCAGCTGTTTGTGTAGAGACATTTGTTGTGCAGAGTCATGCATCAGCTGTTGTCCCAGATAGATGAACGAAAAGGAACCAGCAGTAAATATTACTCACACGTTTTACTGATAAACTACTGCAGTCTATAGCCCATCTTCAGGCTCTGCCTTATAGAGGTCCTGGTTCCTATAGCTCGTCTTCAGGCTCTGCCTTATAGAGGTCCTGGTTCCTATAGCTCGTCTTCAGGCTCTGCCTTATAGAGGTCCTGGTTCCTATAGCTCGTCTTCAGGCTCTGCCTTATAGAGGTCCTGATTCCTGCGTTTGATTTTGGGGGTTGTGTCTCTGCTGCTTGGTTCGCTCTTGATGTTTCGTTTCAGAATGCATGCAGCTGGGGACTCATCGTCTCTGTTATCCTGTTCCTCCTGTGGAGGAGCAGCTTTCGGGGTAGAATGGGAAGGAGGTGGCAAGTCCATCAGGTGGGAGTCAGGACTGGATAAGAGACCAGATTTGGGCTCAGGAAGAATCAATCGGCTGGGTGTATGAAGGTCAGGGATCGTATCTGCCCTCTCTGTGGGTTTTGCTTCATCTTCCTCTTCTTCCTCCCATTCATCCTCTATAGTGATCTGATCTGGGTTAAAAGAACTTGACAATGCTGAAGTATCAGATGGATATTCGCTGGGCTCATCTACATTTTCATCTTCCTCCTCCTCCTTCCCCCAAGTGCTGCTC